GCCCTCCTGGGCCACCGCTGAGGAATCGGCCTATCCTTGGGGCCTCTGCAAGTCTATGGCCAGTTTCCTTAAAGATCATTTCCTCTCCCTTGGGTTTTCTGCGCCAGCTTCCGACATTTCTGATTCTTTCAATCAAGTGCAGGCATCCCGTGCCTTTACAGGTGTTCAATCTCGCAAACGCGTGCCTCCGCTGCTCAGTGAGTTTGCTTCGGTGCACACTGTTGTTGTCCCAACTCAGGTCGCCGATTCTTTTCTGAGACCCGGCAACAAGCTGCCGTCTGACTGGCGGCCAGGATCCGCTGCTAGCTGTGTGCCGCCTCTTTCTGTTTTCCCAACAGGCAGCCGTGTCCTGCGTGCACATGTCTTGGCCATGGGGTGGAGTGAGTGCGCTCAGGCCACCGAATTCCCCGTGCAGCCACCCCCTTCCCCTTTCGGTTTAGACCCTGACTCCAGTGAAGGCGCTCAGGCTGCAGGCTCCTCCGTTTCGCAGCCCAATTCTCATTTCGGGTTAGGTTCTGCCCGTGGCCAAAAGCGTTCCTGGACTGATGGGGGATCCACTGGCAACTCAGATGGTTCTTCACGTGGCCAAAGGCGTTCCTGGACTGATGGGGACACTGGCTCTGTAGATCCTGCAGACTCTCGTGTCCGGGATGCAATGAAGTCCGGCAGTGCTGAACAAGTGGCAGCTTTAATGAACCAGGGCCAATGCATTCGCCGCAAAGATTTGTGTGTGCTGCTTGATTTGGCTTCCTTCGGAGCCTCTTCGATGGGAGGGCAACTTTGGGGCTAAGTCCTTCCAAGTTGGGAGTTTCGTGCATGGGCCCATGACCGGCGTGCGTTCAATGACGAAGCAGTTCCCTGAAACCACCAAAGCCGTGTGCTCGTACATCAGGTCTTTATTCCCGGGGTTCGAGTTTGGTACTGTTGGCCTTTTCCGCGACCTGACAGCTTTGCCGCATAGAGACTCCAATAACGAGGCCGGCACTGAAAACGCCTTAGCGGCCCTTTCAGCCTTCAAGGAGGGCTCTCTTTGGATGGAGGACCCAGCTGGAGAGGTGGAACATGAGTTCAAAGGCCGCCAAGTCAAAGGAGTCTGTGTTCCAGTCACTGCAGCCGGTTTCAGGTTCGATGGCAAAAGGCTCCATGCCACGATGCCTTGGGTGGGGCGGCGGGATGTGATCATCGCATACATGCCTCGGGGAGCCCGGGCCCTGGAATCTGAGCATGCCTCTTTCTTGACAAAGCTTGGGTTCCTGCTCGACCGCAAGAAGCAACTCCCACCGGCAGGAGGCAACGGATTGACTAAGGCAGTCATTGGTGTCTATCGGACGCCAGAGCAGTTTGTCGCTGAAGCCGTTAAAGTTGGTCACCCGACTCAGCTCTCGTCATTGCTCCCAGCTGAGATTCGTGGAGCTGTTCGCAAAATCCACCGCGTTGGCGAGGCTAACGTCGCTAAGGAGCGCACCGCTACATTGAGGCGGTGGGTTGGCATGGCGGCTGAACTTGAAGCTGCTGAAGAGGAGTTCAAAAGTGACATGCCCAAGTTTCGCAAAGATGTTCTTGCATCCAAGCGCTTGTTGCTTTTTCGCACTCTCCTCCGGGAGGTGGGCCACGAAGACGATGAGCTCGTTGCTGACATTGCTAAAGGGTTTGATCTAACGGGCAAGCTTCCCAGATCCAATGTGTTTGTGCGGCGCTTCCGGCCAGCTGAGCAAACCGAGGGGCAGTTGAGGGCAGGAGCTAAGAGGCTACGTGATGGGCTCCTTGCTACCATCAAAGCCTCTGAAAATCCTGTGATTGATGATGGTGTGCTCAAAGCTACGCAGAAGGAGTTGGAGCGGGGGTTCATTGAGGGACCACTTCGTCCCGAAGATGTGCCTGCAAATGCGTCGTTGACCCATCGGTTCGGGGTCCTTCAAGGTATCACTGAGGAAGGTCCAAAGGTCCGACCCATCGATAATTACTTGTCCTCACAGGTAAATGCGGCTGTGACGCAGGTCGAACAGGTCAGTGTCCACACCATTGATATAGTGGCCGGCATGCTTGGGTGTTGGCTGCATGAATGGTTTCTTGCTGGGCAGCCTAGCCATAGCAGCCCGCTGTGCAAAGCATGGGACCTGCGCACGGCGTACAAGCAATTGCCTCTCTCCGATGCGTCGTTTGAGCTTGACAGCTATTTCGTCGTCTTCAACAGCCGAAAAGGTTCCAGTGAAATCTATCGGCAACGTGTTTTGCCCTTTGGATCCACAGCTAGCGTTACGAGCTTCATCAGGGCTGCATATGCCCTGTGGAGGTTGGGCACCCTCAGCCTTGACCTAGGACCTAGTGTGGTCAGCGTGTGTGGTCGCGAGTTCGCGCGACACTGCGACTTCGTGATCGCGCTGTTCTTTCAGCTCTTGGGCTGGGAGGTGTCTAAGGACAAGGAGCTCAGTTACGACTCGATGTGCACTGTTTTGGGAGTTCGGATAAACTTGAAGGATGCCAAGCTTGGTTTGTGTTTTCTCGGGAACACTGACAAGCGGCGTGCTGAGGCCATTGATCAGATCTCTCTTGCTCTGACGTCGACTCAGCTTGATCCTGCTGAGAGTGAAAAGCTTCGTGGGCGATTGCAGTTCGCGAGCTGCCAGATCTTTGGTAGGCTCCAAAGGCATCGCTCAAGGTGCTTGCTCAGCATGGCCGGCAACGCAAGTGGGAGTTGAGTGCATCTACACGTCTTGCATTAGTGCAGCTGAAGCATTTCCTTGAAGAAGGTCGACCTCGGCCTGTGCGCGGCAGGCGGGATGACTTCGTGCACATTTATGTGGATGCATCCTTTGAGCCGAATGGACATTGCGGTTTGGGGGGTGTGGTCTTCTCTTCCTCGGGAGCTCCGCTTAGCTGGTTCGAGCATAAGGTGGATGACCGGTGCATCACAGCGTTGCGTACAGAGGGCAGTAGGGCCAAAGAGACCGTCATCTTTGAGCTCGAAGCCTTGGTGCTTAGCGGAGCGGCTTAGCATCTGCCTCGATGTTTTTCGGCCTTTTGTGGATCGCAAAGGCGTCATCATCTTCACTGACAACGAAGGTGTGTTTGGATGTTTCGTCAGAGGCCATAGCGACGACATCATGTGCACTCCTTTGATTGATTTCTTCGCGAGGTGTGAAGAAAGTCTCGAGACGATTTGTTGGATCGACAGAGTGCCTTCTTCGTCGAACCCTGCGGACGATCCTTCAAGGGGCCGTGGCTTTGCAGCTCCACATCAGTCCGTTGTTGACCGAGCTACTCTCAAGCAGGCCTTGCCACGGGTCTTTGTGTGAATGGGGCACATGTGCTCAAAAGGGGGTGTGGGATGTGCCGCATTCATTCCTGGAAGTCAGGACGTTAGTAGTGAGCAAACTCTTTGGATGCCCCATGCCACCTTCGCGGAAAAGGTCGAGTCCGTTCGTTGCAACTTTCAATATGTGAAATATATTTGATTATCAAGATTGAATCAAATGTATGTGATTCACGACTTTAACTTTTTCCCTTCATATGGAAGTTCATATGATTGACCTCGGTTCTTTATGCGAGCCATAACTTTCCTAGTGAAAATAAGCTCCAAGATCTAGGATAGGACGCTTCCAAATAGACATCTGCTGGGAAACTCAGTATGTTGTCAGAAACGACCGTAGATGCTTTCACTTCCAGACGGGTGATGAGAAGGTTTTTGTTTTGGCAAATGCCGCGGTTAGTGCTTGCGTGCTTGTGGTCGGCTTTTTGTCTTTGCAAATGCCGTGGTGATGGCTCGCGGGTGCTCGTGGCAGGGGTTGTGTCTTGGCAAACAACGGGTGATGGTTCGCAGGCGCTTCTAGTGAGGTTTTTGTATGGCTTGAGTGCTTGTGGTAAGGTTGTTGTCTTGGCAATTGCTGCGCGTGCTTGTGGCAAGGTTTTTGTCTTTCAAACGCGGCTCGCAAGTGCTGAGGGTATTTTGACACATGCCACGGTGATGGCTCGCGGGTGCTTGTGGTCAGGGTTTTGTCTCTGCAATTGACGGGTGATGGCTCGCGGGCGCTTCTGGTAAGGTTTTTGTCTTGGCAATGCTGCGGTGATGGCTCGCGAGTGCTTGTGGTGAGGTTTTTGTCTTGGCATGCTGTGGTGGTGGCTTGCAGGTGCTGGTGGTGAGGTTTTTGTCTTGGCAAATGCCGCGGTGATGGCTCGCGGGTGCTTTTGGTAAGCTTTTAGTCTTGGCACATGCCGTGTCAGTGGCTCGCGAGTGCTTTCGCTAAGGTTTTTGTCTTGGCAAATGACGCGGTGATGGCTCGCGAGTGCTTGTGGTAGGGTTTTTGTCTTGGCAAATGCAGTGGTGATGGGTCGCGAGTGCTTTTGGTAAGGTTTTTGTCTTGGCACTGCCGCGGTGATGGCTCGCGAGTGCTTGTGGTAGGGTTTTTGTCTTGGCAAATGCAGTGGTGATGGGTCGCGAGTGCTGGTGGTAAGGTCTTTTTGTCGGCAAATGCCGCGGTGATGGCTCACGAGTGCTTGTGGTAAGGTTTTTGTCTTGGCAAATGCCACGGTGATGGCTCGCGAGTGCTTGTGGCAAGTGGCCACTGCAGCGGTGATGGCTCGCGAGTGCTTTTGGCCAGGGTTTTTTTTGGGCAAATGCCGATTCGAAGCCCAAGCAGAGCACGCCACGAAACATGTTTTGTCCCAAAGCACAACCCGTAGATTTCAGCTCCAGACAATCGGAGGAGTCTCTGGATGCTGAGATCGCGATCAGATCAAGGCAGGGAGCAGGGTGGTGAGCGTGCTTGTGTGGCTGGAGCGGGTCGGTTGAAGTACGATTAGGAAACTTGTTCGGTTTTTGTATCGGGCATTAGCAGGCATGAATTGCTGAGCAGGGCTTGTTTTGATGTCACGTTGTCCTTTCTGCGCACAGTTAGGCCGGAAAGAGACTTGGCCTGGAGACCCGCGCCGCGAAACTCTCTCTTCGCAGCTTTTGGCCCTTACGAGTCAGACCATAAGTCAGCCCTCTTAGAGAAGTCATCATGTGCCCGTGGCGGGAGATGCTGGCAGTATACGGCCTGATGTGTGTGCTTTCCGCACAAGGGTCTTCGGCCAACACGGAGGCTGGTGGATTCTGTGGCGATGCAGCGGAGTTCTCCGGAAATGCCACGGCAGATCAAGCAGCCTTGATGCAAGCCAAGACTGTGCGAGTGGGAGCTCAGGTGTGGCACTCAGACCTTTTGCCTACAGTCTGTCTTGCTAGCCCAGCTCGAAGCAGAGTAGTGGAAGTAAGGACCCCCCCACGAGCAAATTCAGGGGTTGCTTGGCAAGTTGTGCCTCAGGTCAAGGCAACGACGAGGTCTGGTTCTGCTGAAGTGTCCTTCTCCGAGGTGGTAGAGTACCGTGGCAAGTACTGCTACGCCCCAGCCGACGAGAAGCGTGCAGATTACAGGGTCTTTGATGGGCTTTCCAGTCAGCAAGAATGCGAGGACTACTGCGCCACGGACCCGGAATGCAACTTCTATGGCTGGTACACAGGTAGGCAGACCGGCAGCAGGTGTGATGATTGTGTGTTGTACACGGCCTGTGATGCTCGTCGCGAGTCTGTGTGTAAGGACGTCGACAATCCGAAGATCTACCAGAAGTCCCCTTTAAACACAGGGCGCGTGCCGTCCCCGGCGCAGGTGAAAGTCTTTGAGCCGGATGAGAAGCTCACGGACATGTACTGCAAGGACTCGGAGATCGTAGCCCTAGATCGGGCGAGCCTAGAAGAGTGCAAGTCAAATTGCAGCAGATTCTCGGACTGCTGGTACCTGGCGTACTACCACAACTCGAGACCAGATGAGGATGCCAGAGCCAGCTCATGCAATCCCCAGTGCCGGCTGTTCTCCAGGTGCAATCACAAGGTTAACTCAATGTGCAGGCCCGGTCCCACGGCGTTCGCAGCCATCACCACCACGACCACCACTACGACTAGCAGCACGACCACTACCGTCTCCCAGCCGCAATGCTGGACACAGCGGTGTCACAGCTGCTGGTCACTTCGCAGGCAGGTGTCTACCGCTGCCCTCTGGGATCCAGGGACCTGGATTTGTCCAGTTGCGTGCTGGTTGCAGCCGCTGGTGCCGAGCTCACGGCGCCCGTCAGGGCCACCGAGGGTCCGGGCACAACGGTGCTCGTGGCTGACGGCTCCAAGGTTCTGCGCTGCGACCAGGTGAGCCAGGCCGTCCCGCAACCAGTGCATGTAGTCTATGTTTGAGCAAGCATACGAGACTGGATGCTAGATGGTAGATAAGTTACTACAGGGTATACACCGCGCAGCGTAATTACACTGCTGTACACTACAGTTCTGGTAGTGCACAACAGGCTGGCCCACAGTGCGAGACTGTGGTGGACCTGCAGGACGACGTGAAGGGCGTAATTTTCAACGTTGACGCCAGATCCCTGTTCGCCAGCGGAAGTTATGTTGTCGTGACCACCGCATCTTTTGGAAGCACACCAACCTTCCAGTCCTGTGAAGCCGCAGCGGTGGCATCCCAGCAGAACTGCCGCGCTTTCGACAACTACTACAGCTTCTCTACCGGGCAATCCATTGACGATGTGCATGTCGATGTTCTGCTTCGTGACATCCAGAATGTGGTAGATGATCTGTTCGCGCACGTAGCCGTCTTAGGCACAATTTATCGCTGTCGCCTGGACTTTGGAGCACAATGTGAACGGGTATCACATCCATCATCTACCATCTTCGCCACATCCATCTTCGTCAAGGGAGGACGTATCTATGGACTTCGGGCCAATGCGGGTGACACCAACACCCCCATATTTGTGTGCGACACGTATGAACAATCCACCATCAATTGGCACCAATGTACACCTAGAGTGCTCCGAACCCTCTCTGGTGTGGGACGTGGCCTGGCTATAGACCAGGACGACAATTTCATCGTGTCGCGACAAAGCTCCGGGGCGCCGAGTGAAGTGGTGAGGTGTCCACAAGATCCCGCAATCCAATGCGAAGTACTTGTGGTAGGTACGGAAGGTGAGCCAATCGCTGATGTGAGCTTGTTGTATGCTTATCCAGAAGCATGAGCACAGGTCTCTTGACTCTCCATTTGTACTGGGGCCGGGATGCACCGGGCATTTCATGTGAATCGACCCCCAACTGGTGCTTTTCAATCAGCCCGCAAAGGGCATTTTAAATTTTAAATGTTAAATTCTTAATTTCGTTTGCTAGCAATGTGTGCTGCCTTACGAAGGAAGACAGCAAACATAAAGAAGTGTGTAGAGAAGACCTCTGCAGAGGAGGCCCAGGCCTCACTAACAGACCGATTTTTGCGCTGCCTGCCTGCTTGAAAAGTGGTGTTATATCACTGCTACGTGATTGGGAATATGGTTCTTGTGACTTGTCCGAGATGTTGTTATTATTCTGGCGAATGTCGCATGTATGCATAGTGCCTGCGGCTGTTGGTAAACTTGGGTACAGCTTCGCGGCAGCCCGAGCGCACAAGGCGTGGCCTAACGAGGATGCGAAGACACCTGACTGTGGGAAATGTTAAGTTTGAGCCGCTGTTGCAAACGAACGCGTTAAATCAGCAAAGGCAACAGCATTAATGTATGTATACATGTATGTACATACCGAGTCAAAAGAGCAGCGACATGTTCTGTGCATGTTTTGCATCTCCGTTAAGGCTCGAGGCCCGAACCCTGAGCCTGCAGCCCTCAGCCACAAAGACGGGGAGTTGGAGTTAGCTGCCGCGCAGGCTGGGCTTCCAGGCGAGAGCTTCCTTTGCAGTCACTGATCCCAACTCAACTTCTCGCTTCTGAATGTGAAGTCGTTGCAGTCCCCAAAACCAGCATGATTGGAGCCTCTCCCTTGAAACCATCGATGCCAATTGGTTGTTTTGGGGAACATCTTCAAAGACTTTTGCTGCACAAATCCTTCGATTGTTGTTCGAAATGGACACCGACACCATCGCTCATTTGTTTGAAACACGCAACAAGTGCTTCTTCGCAAAATCGTCTGGAACACCACGCTTTGTCAGTGGGACAATAGAGATCAGGCTTGCGGCGTTCCAGACCAGAAGTTTATTTTTGTCTTGCTTCAAGAGTGAAAAGACACAACCCGTGGCTTTGATCCACCTTCATTTTGAACTTGTGTGCCACTTGTCTTGTTGTTTGCCCATGCCTGAGGGTCTGTTGTTGATTTATTCCGTCTCCCTCACCGAGCTGTTTTACAAGACGTAGCTCCACTGCAGAAGAATCTTTTTGGGCACTCGGCTGAAGAGCATGGCACACAACCAATGTGCTCTCAGAGAGAAGCAGAGGAAACAACGGCAGCTGAAAACACAAGCAATTTTGTTTGATTTGCCAACAGCTTGACCAAGGTGAGTGAATCGCTCAAACTTTCCAAATCTGCCATGTTTCCTTGAGCTGCCGCTGGTTTGCACTATCTTCCTAAAGCTTCTGCAGGCAGGGCCGCTGAGACGTTTTGACTTGTGGAAGGTGCAGAGTGAGAACCAGTTGCATTATGTTTGGGTGAATGGCACCAAATCGCAATTATGCGTTCTTCAATGTGGATTTACATTTTTAACCCCAAAAAGATTCGTACTGATGTCAATCCTTCGTATTTGTGGAGAAGATGTTCAAAAAAACTTGGCTTTTCTGAGCCTTGTTCTTTTTTGTTTGTCATGTGTTTTTCTCGGTTTGCAGTGGTTCCCTCAAGGGTCGAGCATTGACGGTGGAGCGATGTGATTGCTTGTTGCCTTGTTTTCTCACGTTGGTGTTGTTCCAGGAATGAAAAACGATCGACAACAACACAATCTCTGTTTCTGATCTTCAACATTTCCCATTCTGTCGCTAGAACTGCAATGCCAGATGTTGTTGATGATTGAAATTTGGAGTCTCGAAGATGTCTCGAAGATGCTCGTTGTTGCACCTTACAAAGCTAGGCAAGTTTTTGCAGCTTATGACGTGCGAAGACAAAATGGATCCGTCTTTCCTGCTGTTTGTCCAAGCTTAGTTCGACAAAATGAACCCGAACGAATTCCACCATGATAAAGCAAATGATCGAACGGACCGTTTGAAAAAATGCTGTGGTAAGCAACCTTACTGTTATCAACAAAAGGCACAAGCATCATCAGAATGATTACCCACATGCTCAGGATGTTTATCAACATGTCACAATGTTTCGAAACAAAAACATTCATAAAAGCACGAGCTAGTTTCATCTTTCCGGCAGCATCAACAACATCATCCTGATCATCACCATGATCATCACCATCGTTGCCATCATCATCCACATGATAAAAAGCATGAGCACCACCATAATCGGCAATCATGCTCAGCCCACCATAGTGATCGTCACCATCACCATCGTGTTTCCCGGTTATACCAATTGCAATCTTCATCATGATTACTGTCGTCATCTTTTTCATAAGCATCATGAACATCAACACCGCGGTCATCATTGTTAATCGCATTATCATGGTCTAGTCACCGGAAGTACACCTGCAAGGCTTGCGGGGCTGTGGAAGCATTGGCATCCCGCAGTTTTAGATCTTATCAACCAGTGGACCCGCTCTGCTTCTGTGGGAAGGAATGATCATGTGAGGATCCGCGTATCATTGTTATCGCTTATCTTATGCCAGTATCGGAAGTTCGTAGACCATGTTTCGTTGATAGTGTTCTTGTGTTTCTGCCCGGAATCATTCAGCTTGCTCTCGCTGAGTGGATGGCTGCTTGGTGCTTCCGTCGTGACAACGTCGCCGTCCGCGTCAGTCAATGTGAGGCGACTTGAATGGTTCAGTGAGATCCCAGTTCATACTCTGCTCCAACATCTTTTGCAATGCAGCTTTTTGCAGGCCTGTCCGGCGCGATGCGCTGGCAGGTGCTGCAAGTGCACTTGCGACTCACGCCAAGCAGCAGCGATGGCAGCAGGCGAGAGACTCTGTGTGCGGATCCTGTGGTGTCCTTTCCCCTGGGGCAGACATCCCTCCAGCATATGTGCCAGTATATATATATATACATATATGTATATGTATATATATATATATATGTATGTATATATATATACATGTGTGTGTGTGCATGTACATATATATATATATATTTATTTATTTATTTATATGTATATGTATGTATGTATGTATGTATATATAGAGCGAGAGATGAAACAGAGATCATAGATAGTATA